TGGTATAGTCCATATCAATGAGTTGTGGCTCATCAGTAGGAGTGTCCTCCTCCACTCTAAACTGTAGCTCGTAAACAAAGTCACCAATGACCACATCCACAAAATCCAGGATGAGTTTCGGATCCAGCACTGCTACTTTCATTCTAGCTCTGCCAGTGTTCAAAGTGAAGATAGTGTCAACAGCCCGAGGGACACCTAAGATAGTTCCAACTGCCCAGATGATGGGAAATTCTCTGAACTCTTTAGGTAGTCCTCTAAACTACACCCACACTTTATCAATCTCATATTTATAGACCTCATTCTCAGTACCTTTTTCAAAACGAATCTTGCCTTTAACTACCTTGGCATCCATAGGTCCCCAATTCACCATTGTTTCCAATAGGTCAGAAGATGGAAAATTGATAATAAAAGCATCAGTGCCCTTTGTCTCAATTTCCCACTTATGTTTCTTACTGGTAGTAGTTTTTCCAGTTCTACTGCCAATTGGTCTACAGTAAAAGAACCTTCCAAAACATGTACCACAACTGCTTTTCCTTCCACATTAGCTTTTGGATTTTCCACCACTGGAATGAAATAAAAGCCTAGTCCTTCCACAGCATAACCACAGGGAATAGCATTTGTATTTGTTTTCTTAATATTTGGACAAAGCTTAGTCACATGGTCACCAAAACAAACTTCACAGCAAAGAACAACAGTGCATTCGTGAATTGTATGACCTTTTGTACGACAGCGATAACAAAATGGCTTGCCCTTAGTTTTCTTTGAACCTTTATCCGATGACTCTGGGATATCTAAGGAAGTACCTTTTGGTTCACTGACCGGTGGGACAGTCCCCCCCCCCCGGGATTTGCTGTAGCTTTCATGTTTGCGGTGTCCACCACCATGGCGGTAGCATGGCTTGTCGAAGAAGCATCCCCCTTCCCTGTGTCGGTCTCCAATTGAGGAGGAGGCACAACGGAGCCCGGCGCTTGATGACCAGAGATGGCAGATGACGTGGCGCCCCCCTGCTGCTGGACGTGACCCCCCATGAGCACCTGCTGGGGGTTCACCTCCATTGGTTGCGGCTGCGGGAATCCCCCGATGGGATGCTGGTACCCTCCTATGGTCTGGTACAACCCATCATGTGCTGGGTTAGGGTAGGCACCCACAGCCCCAGACGGCCCATACTGGTGTGGTGGCACAGGATGCCGAGGATGAGGATAGTCGGTGTTATGGCGACCACCTCGACCCCTGTGACCCCCTTGGCCACGGACTCCACCGAAGTTTCTTCCCCCTCCATAGTAGTGAGCACCGCTATTTCTTCCACCCAAGTTGTTGTAGCCCCCGAACCTATCTCGGCCCCAATGCGGGGCAAAGCCACGGTCCGCACCACAGCCCCCTCGCCCCAGGAAGCCGTGACCTCGTCCACGTCCGCCGAAGCCAGGGTCATAACCCGGGTTGAAACCGGGGTTGAAGCCTGCGCCCCTGCCTCCACCATGCTCGCCAAAGTTTCCTCCATTGCCCAGCCCTTGCCCAGCCATGTCTTTGCCCTCGCGAACCACGTCCGCGAACGAGCGGCGCAGTGATGAAGACGGTGATGGCGGCGGCTTAGGCGTGCAGCGAGGTTTTCTTTTGGTGCCGGTACGCAAGAAAAGGGCACATAGACCCTTCGTGGGTCTAAAAAATTTCCCGGGCCCGAGTTCAACACGGTCTGTTGGCCCAGATCGCTCCGGCTCCGTCGTCCCTTCCACACCGCTAGAGACGCACGCGGCCGAGACCGGTAGCATCCGTTCGGTAAGCGGAGGAAATTCCGGATAAGAGTCCTGAACTCTCGGCTTTTCAAATTTTTTTGAAACCTCCATCTTTGTCATCGTAGAACGAAAGAACGGAGATCTCTGTTGACGGACTAGCGAGCTCAATCTGTGACGCGAAGCTGAAGACCTGTAGGTAGCCTTGGCAAGGATATCACCTAGTGTCCGTGGTGGAGACACTCGAGGTTGGGGTAGAGGTCCCTGCCATGGCACCCCGGCAAGCTTCCTTTGAACCATCGTGGAGACAATGGTCTTTGGGAGCCGAAGGGCATCAGACGAAGGAGACTTACCTGAGTCCAGAGCCTGTTCAGCTCTATATAGATCGTCGTGTGTAAATCATGCGTCTATAGCCTCGCTGATGAAGTCCGGCGTAGAAAGAGAAGCCGGTTCATCCTCCTCGGAGTCGGAGTCGCCCCCTGTAGCCCAAAACCTAGACATGATAGGAGACGACCCGGCCTGAACTTGAAAGCCATGGATTGGCTTCGGACGCTGAGATGCTTCCATCGCCAGAGACACTGCTCTCGACAGAGCAGCTCGTCCCTCCACACGCCTCCGATCCTCATCGTCGTCCGCGTCCTCCTCGTCCGCAACCGCTAGAAAGGAAGACGGCCGAAGTGCACTCCTCGTCGCCAGAGCGAGCGTGAGGCAGCGCCCTCTACGACCGCGCCGGCCGTTCCTCGAGCTGTCTAGCATCTTCCTTGCCTATTGCCTTTCAGACCGAGGGAGTATGGTTTTCAATTCTCACTTTCTCGGTGAAATTAGCAAAGTTGCTGCTATTTTTTTTTGATCGGGTACAACTTGGACCCACACGACCCACACACTCTACACGCACACACACGCGTGCGTGTCTATACACACGCAAAGAAGAGATTGAGAGGCACGTCGCCTCCGGCGCGTGGGAAATGTGCAATACCATCGAACACGTACGCGTACCCTAAAATTTCTAGAAAAATTCCATAAAAAGGTGCGATCACCAGAATTTAAAGCCTGGTGGGTAGCGTCCAGTGGACAGCCCTATCACTGGATCATACACCCACTGCTGCTAAATTTTGGAAGCACTGACCATTGCTCGTAACGGCAGTTTTTGACACGCTGGTTCTGCCTCGCGCCACGTCCATTTCACACGGAGGATCCACTGGCCCGGGCCAGTTTAAACGTCATAAGTCATACCTCTCTTGCAGCCCAGCCAGCCCAACCCATCCCTGTGGCTCACCTCGTGCCCCAAAGCCCGGAGGGCCCACCTACCAGGGCCGTGGCTGGATGAACCAGCTCGCTCTCGCGCTGGTTTGCCCAAACAATTGCAATACGAACTAAAAAAAAAAGACGAAACATCGTTTAAAAGTCGATCAATTTTAGGCAGCCTTTGCATGCAAAACATGCCATTAATAGGTTTATAAGATACGCGTAGGAGGCTGCTGTTGCGCTCCGCCTTCGTCGCCTCCTGTTGTTTGTGGTTGTGGCCAATCCTTCCCCTCTCCTCTCATCCCGGGCCCCGGGGAAAATTTTGCCCCAGAACTGTAGCGCGTCGGATCACAAGCAAGGACAAAATTTTCTGTGACTCTGGCTGAAGGACGCTGCGACACCCAAAATTATGTCGGTGAGTGCAAATCTCCTGCGCCTTATAATGGATGCACATCGTTACTACCTTTTTATTCTTTTTTATAATGCCTGCATTATTCGTCTACCTTGGCTTGAAATCAAAGATTGTTTTGATGCATCACGCATGATGAAAACATGCTTTGCCGCATTGGATTAGCATGAAATTTTCTTTTAGCAAATTGGCACCTAAATGCAAGGATGAATATCTAGCTATCCATTACGATGATATGGATCCAAATCCATCAGTTTGGCAAAATGGGAAACTGATGACAATTAACAACGTCTGTTCATTCATAGGCCATCGATCGATAAACATGAACGAAATCAAATTGGCAAGCATGTCATTATCAACAAACTGTGGTTCCTGATCCCTCACTTTTAAATTGTTGAGCGATCGATCCCATTGATAAATCATGCATACGGATGTGAAACGGATGTTCACATCGAGGTGAAGATGTGATCATCTGCTATCTGGTTTTCTACAAATCTAGCCTTGAACAATAATGGTTCCCCCGGGGCAAGGCATGCAATGACGAATTTGACGCTAATCAGGAGGAAAGGAAGTAGCATTTGTGCAATCACATTAGTAATACGCATATAGCTGTTGTGCTGATTAGCTGGCATGATGTTTTGCGAAGGACGACACTTTTTTTATTTATTTTGCGAAGGTTGTGAAGGACGACACTGGCCGCACTATACCCAAGTTCGGCGAATGGGACGTCAACAACCCGGCCTCTGCCGACGGGTTCACGGTTATCTTCAGCAAAGCCAGGGATGAGAAGAAAGCCCCGGCCAAACCAGGCCACATCACCAACAGGTCGGCGTCGGCTGACAGCAAGGACTCCAGGACCGAGAAGATGACCTCCTACAACTCCAGGACCAACGCATCGGTAGGCATCGATTCGGTCATTCCCGTTACCATTAATTCCTGTGCTAGCTAGTCACCGATATTCATAACCATGCATGCGTTGTGTGATCTCTCCAACTTGCAGAAGAAATGGTTCTGCTGTGTCTCGCCCAGTCCCACACAATCTTGAGGAAGCTAATGAGCTGTGCAATGCTGCAGTCTGGTGCTATTCTGTGATGATTATGTGTAGCTCTGTCGCTGGCCATGAGTGAGCTCTTCATTTCAATCCTACTACTTGCCAGTGACAGGGGCGCTATGTATAGCCATTGCAAATGAGAAAATTACTCTGATGGGTGTCTGCTTATAGCGTCCTTAGCTGTGTATACCATCAGTTCAAGTTGATGTCTGCTTGTAATTTTCTTTTTCTAGCCCCTTCTCTATGTGGTGTAACCCTTCCTCAACGTTATCAGTGAATCTGAGTTACTCCCCAATAATCCATGCTGCATTTTGCTGTAACTTCGGCGAGGATAAATTTGTTTCGGCTCTGACCAAACCAGGTCAACGAATTCTCAGATTGCAGTGACTGAACAAAGTTATGCGCCTCCACCCTGACAAACAAAATTCTGCGATGTTTTCAGATCTGTAGAGGAACATGTTATAGCTGTTTAAGTTCTCTTGGAAATACATTATATTAGCACAATTCTTATAACTTTCACCATCGGATTTCAAAAAAAAAAAAAAAAAATCTTTCACCAGCTTCACATTTACAAGTACAAGTTGGTTGGCAGTATACAGAATGGCATTACAATGCAGAGCGAAATTAGACTGACAGAAGCTGGTAATCCGCCACTGTCCTTGCGGAGGAACAGTGCTTCGTACACTGGGAAATTGATCGCTACTATTAGCGCACATAGAACAGCCTGCACAAACATAGCTCCCAAACTCATCGCGCCTTTATGCAGCAAAACTTTTGCCACCCCGAGCATCATGCATGCCAGGTTAAGCAGTGCGACAGTTGCAATGATCACAAACATCGCGGAGAAGGATCCAAACTCCATCATTCCCTTCTTGTACCTCTCTAGGGCCTGCGAATCAGTCACCTTCGTTGTCAGGGTGAATCCCGACTCAGTGATGCCAAGCATTCTGCGGATTGTGTCGATGGCTGCCAAGAGGTATGAGGTGATTCTTCTGAAAAGCCACATCCTTTGTGCGTTCCACCACTCTACGGCAGTGTCGCCACATTGCCGTGACTCCACCAAACTGCAGGAGTATGCAGCCACAACAACGTATGCAAACGGTACAAGCCAGGGACTGGTTATCTGGGTTGAGTAGATTGCAGATGCAAGTTCTCTTTTAGAATTTGGCCAAAGTGCATATAGAAAGAAGAAGCAACGAAATATATATCAACTCACCTCAGGGAACAATGAGATGCCATTGAGGAAGCAAAGTGAAGGGATGGTGACATAGTACAAGGTGGGGAAGCTGTTAAGAGCCCAGAACCCGCAGACGGAGTAACCCATTTGAAGGCCCAGCCTGATCTTCCTGTGACCTAGCAGAAACGGGCTGTACTTTGAGAGGGAGATCTGGAGGAACCCTTCTGTCCATCTCTTGTGCTGAACCAAGATCTGTCCTAGTGAGGTCGGCGCCATGCCTAAAAACCCCTTTCTTGGCGGGTTGTGGTAAACTGATCTCCACCCACGGCACTGGATCTGCAATCCTGTAATGACATCCTCCAGTGGGCAACCATATCTAACTCCCTTCTGTAATTCAGCAACTCGAAGTCAGTAATACGAAGTCCATACATAAATTGAGAAAATTATGTGATCGTAAAGCAACAAAGTGTGACCTCAATCACAGTAACGGTATTTTCAGAGTTGTATATAGAGATCTACCTCGATTCCCCAAAGGGTGTTGTGCTCATATGTGCAAGTCACAAGTGACTCAGCCATTCCTTCCAAGTCGCTGACATCTTCAGTTTTCCTCACAACCCTAGTCCAATCCTCCTTGTAGTCTCGACTATATATTCGCCCACATAGAGCCTCTCTCCGATGGAAGCATCATGTGCCATAGTAACACATTCCACCCCATCCATCCAAGCAAGGATGATCCAACTGAAGACCAATTCCATTAAACCAAAAAACAGGGTTATTAAGCTTAGTGGTGCGTTTTCAGCTCAAGACATAGGTAAGCCCTCCATTGAAATTCTAAGAGATGCTATATTAATTTTTTATTGACCTCATTGACGGAGTTGATGGGATTGCCATAGATGTCATTGTGCACCACATTTTCAAAGTTCTGAGGGTACTGAACAAAAGCAATATCTTGACTTTGCTCTTCATCTTGGAAGAAGCACAATGCATCTCTGATAGACCCTGAATTGTTGGAGTACATATCACAGTCCACATTCATAATGACTGGGCTGTTGCTTATCACTGATGATACCCTTATCTGCACCATCAACCTTAATTAAGGAATTATATAAACATAAGAAATATTGGTTCAAGTAGGACATTACCGAACATCATGGGCTGTAATGAATAGAGGCCAAAATACCCACCAAAGCATTCAGTGATCCAGCCTTGAAGTGACGATGTTCCTGAGGTCTCTTCTCACGAGCCAAATAAACCAGTGTGGGCAACACATTTCCATCAACATCAGTTGCTTTTCTTTTGTTTCCATCAATTAAAATCTAGCAATTGAGAACTCTTTGATCAGAACAAACCACAAAATGATGAAAACAAAAAAAATACAAAATTCATAGCAATTCACTAATGAGTGCATATGAACCATGCCAGGCTTGTCTTGCTAAGACTTAAATTTGATAGATAATGGAATAAAAATATTATTGGAAGGGTTATCTGCAAAACTTACTATTTCAGTTGGTTTGGATCATTATTGGAAAATTATTCATACTTGTTAAATATTAGTTTTCTTACATGAGTTTTTCAAACATTCCGCAGATGTACTGGACTGCTAGTTAAATTTTAAATTGAACCATCAGATCCTTCTCCTACTAGTATCGCTCTGATCAGACCACTTATACCATAACCTTTACCTGAACTATTGAAGGGTGATCTCTAAAACTTGTATTCTCGCTCCACTTGGAGAAGCCCCTAAGCTTGTATTTTGAAACATCAGGGATCTTCCCTGAATTAACGACTGAGTTCACTCGATCTGTCAAATCTTTGTGCATCTCCTACAGAACAAAAACAGAAAAAGAGAGATAACATGCATAAGCTTGCTGGTTTCAGTATCACAGAACATATATGGAAGTCCACCATAGCGCAATTTTTTTTAGGACACCATAGCGCAAGTTAATGTGGCAGGAAGTAGCAAAATAAAAATTAGGTTAAGATGAGCTATATTACATAGAATGCATTGAAAATGTACACACTACCTTCAAGGAAAACCACTCTTTACGGTCACATGCGTCAGGAGGGGTAGCTTCTTTACCAAAGTAGGCGGCTGGTGACCTGGGCTCCACTTGGTACTTCTTGCAAAATGGAAGCCAGTGCTTTGCAAACTCTGATGCCGCATATAGAGCATATAATGTTGTGATGGAACCAGCATCATCAGATACATAGATGTTCAACTACTCCTGCGGGTAGTCGTAAGCCATAACAGATAGGACAGTGGAGATGACAAGCATTGGTGGCTCAACAGTGGGGTCTGCTGTACACACAAATATGTCCACCCCAGGAAGCTGCTCTTCCTTGTACCTGTTTATAGTCAACGTTTAGCTGAAAACTAAGCAGGCACAGATAGTAACTTCATAGGTTCGAAGCCGCTATGAATCATGGAAAAAACTGCCATGGAACAAGCTTGGAATGTGCAGCATTTCAACACCTACAATAGTCTAGGAGGATGCATGTTCAGCTTAATTGCCGAAATAGCAATCATAGCTCTAGCAGGTTAGGCAGGGATGTAGTGATTGTTTCATGCCCACAGTTCCAAATGGATGTCAAATTCAGTTAGCGAATGCAGAAATTCAGTTAGTCAGATGACAAAATCAAACACAAACAGCCGCTCCAGGGGAAGTACCTTCGCGAGAGCTGGTCCGGGAAGGCGCGGCGGTAGACGGGGCTCCACCGCACGGACAGCGTCAGCACCCAGTAGAAGCCGAACCAGAGCTCGGCCGCGGAGAGCCCAAGCCACGCCCACCACCGGGCGCCGCTGCTCCTCGACGGCACGTGCGTGGCTCTGTACAGCCATACCAGAAGAACCCCCGCGAGGACCGTGCTCGCGAACAGCCGGTAAGCGTGCGTCGCCATCCGCGTCGGTTTCTCCGTCACGACCAGCGGTGGGCGGTTGCTCCGCCGCGGACGCTGATCCCGGCCATCCCTTCCTCTGTGGAATGGAAACACACAAGGTATAGCCTAGTAAGCGAGAATCACTGGGGAAGAGTCGGGTGGGTTGTGGCCTTGTGGGTAGCAGCCTAGCAGTAGCAGGTGGTCAGGTCAACGCAGCTTTGGCGTGCACTACTGCAGCCGCCTCTCCGGTCTCAGCTTTGAATTGGCATCCAACATCCATCCTGGGAGCAGGCACCACTGTACTGTGTTCCCGGTTGAGCATTGGAACACGAGACTTTGGCGGTTTGCCCTGCCCGTCTCCACTTGGAGTAGGCTCCGGTCAGAAGAGCCCAAAGAATCAACTCCGGCCCACTGCCATCTGGCCCAGCAGCACATGCTCGATTTTTTTCCCGTTGGTCCGTCGGCTAGGACGCTAGCCGCTGACGATCCTAACGGACGGCACGGCGGCGCGGCTGCGGCGAGCGGCGCGCCGGCAGCAGCTGCCGCGAGGGCCTCGGTGCGGTGCGGCTGCGCTCGCGCGGGCGTGCGCCGTGCGATAGCTGAGCGCGACGGCGGATGCAGTCATGCAGACTGCTAGGCTGGGTTCTGGATCGGGGATTTGGGGTACTATCCACTTGGGCCGGTTATTGGGCCTATTTTTCTTCCCTCAATCGTTTCTCTCGTATATACTCTCGTCTTCCAGCCGCCTCCGCCGACGAACGCCGCCGCTCGTCCGCTCCTTCGCAGCGGCCAGAAGGAAGACAGAGGGGTACTAGCGGCTCTACTCCGGCGGTAGGTGGGGCAGCTGCCCCACCGTGCCGCATGGGGAGCTCCGCCTCTGCGTGAAATGATCCTGCGGCCTTCTCTTCTGGCCGTTGCCCGCCCTCTCACCACCGTGGCCGTCGCGGCGGCCGTCCGCCGCGGGGACCTCGCCGGCGCCGAGGAGGCCTTCGCGTCGACGCAGCTCAAGACCACGACCACCTACAACTGCCTCCTCGCGGGATACGCGAAGGCGTACGGTCCAGGCCGCCTCGCGGACGCACGCCGCTTGTTCGACAGTATCCCGCACCCGGACGCCGTCTCCTACAACACGCTCCTGTCCTGCCACTTCGCCTGCGGCGACATTGATGGCGCGTGGAGAGTCTTCTCCACGATGCCCGTCAGGGACGTCACGTCCTGGAACACCATGGTCTCCGGGCTCTCCAAGAACGGGGCCATCGAGGAGGCCGAGGCCATGTTCCGGGCCATGCCGGCGAGGAATGCTGTTTCCTGGAATGCGATAGTTGCCGCGCTCGCGTCCTCTGGAGACATGGGCGCGGCGGAGGACTTGTTTAGGAATGCGCCGGAGAAGACGGATGCCATTCTCTGGACTGCAATGGTGTCAGGGTACATGGACAACGGCAATGTCCAGAAGGCCATGGAATTCTTCAGGGCAATGCCTGTGAGGAACTTGGTTTCATGGAATGCCGTTGTCGCTGGGTATGTCAAAAATTCACGCGCAGGCGATGCTTTGAGGGTGTTCAAGACCATGGTTGAGGATGCTATTGTGCAGCCAAATGCGTCAACGTTAAGTAGTGTGCTTCTTGGGTGCAGTAACCTGTCTGCACTTGGATTTGGGAGGCAGGTACATCAGTGGTGCATGAAGTTGCCTCTTAGTAGGAGCGTCACTGTGGGCACATCTCTTCTCAGCATGTACTGCAAATGCAGCGATTTGAATGACGCTTGCAAGCTGTTTGATGAGATGCGTACAAAGGATATAGTTGCATGGAACGCCATGATTTCTGGCTATGCCCAACATGGGGATGGAAGGAAAGCTATCAAGTTATTTGAAAAAATGAAGGATGAAGGAGTGGTGCCAAACTGGATTACATTGTTGGCAGTATTGACAGCTTGTATCCACACCGGATTGTGTGATTTTGGAATCCAGTGCTTTGAAACAATGCAGGAAGCATATAACATTGAACCCCAGGTTGATCATTACTCATGTATGGTGGATCTTCTCTGCCGAGCTGGTCTGCTTGAAAGAGCTGTCAACATGATCCATTCAATGCCCTTTGAGCCGCATCCTTCTGCCTATGGCACCTTGCTGACTGCTTGTAGAGTTTATAAGAACTTGGAGTTTGCCGAGTTTGCTGCTAGAAAGCTGATTGAACAGGATCCACAGAATGCAGGCGCCTATGTACAGCTGGCAAATATTTATGCTGTGGCAAATAGGTGGGCTGATGTCTCTAGAGTACGGAGATGGATGAAGGATAATGCGGTAGTGAAAACACCTGGGTATAGCTGGATGGAGATAAAGGGCGTGAGACATGAGTTCAGATCTAATGACAGATTGCATCCTCAGCTTGGTTTGATTCATGACAAGTTGGACCGCTTGGAGGAGCTGATGAAGGCAATGGGATATGTTCCTGATCTTGATTTTGCACTGCATGATGTTGAGGAGAGTCTAAAGTCACAAATGCTGATGAGGCACAGCGAAAAGCTTGCCATCGCTTTCGGTCTGATTAGCACTTCCCCTGGGATGACCTTGAGGATCTTCAAGAACCTCAGGATCTGTGGAGATTGTCATAATGCAGCCAAGCTTATATCCAAAATCGAGGATCGAGAAATAATACTTAGGGATACCACACGGTTCCACCATTTTAGAGGTGGGCATTGCTCATGTGGGGATTACTGGTGAAGGAAAGAATCTCGACAACAGTTTCAGACACACTGGCAGTGTAGGACTTGCAACACTATCTAAATTGTAGTTTATGTATGAAATGTGAACTATGAACTTATGGACTTGGTTCGTCATGTATGACTTGAGTCATTCAAAGCCAGATCAACCCTGATAGCCTCTGGCTAGGAAAATATGGCTGTTTTATAGTTTGTTCCTGCTTGGTTTTTCAAATTGTTTTCTTTTATGTACCTTCCAGTCTGTGTCTTGGTATGAAAGACCACACTGGTTACCTGGTGATTCTTTGAAAAACACTTTCTTTCTGGAACTTCCCAGAATGGGGCCATCCATCCTTATGCATGTGTACATCTAGTGGATTTTCTGTTTACTTTGTGCTATGGGATTGGGGGTCACTTATGCTATTATTTTTCAGGAGGATATGATGCGAGGGAAGCCAGGATATGAACACCTGAATGAACCCCTTCATATATTGGTTGAGGCAGAGCTACCTGTTGGAATCATTGATGCTCGCCTGATGCAAGTCCGCGAGATCCTTGAAGATCTGCTAAAGCCTGTGGTATGCCATCAACCCCTTTATCCTTTTAAAACTCTTTTGCTTGCCTTTAAACCGATACCTAAATAGTTCTTGTTTTCTACTTTGCAGGGTGAATCCCAGGACTTCTTCAAGAAGCAGCAGCTACGGGAGCTTGCAATGCTTAATGGCACCCTTCGTGAGGAAGGGATGCAGAGATCCGGTTCAGCGTCCCCTTTCCACAACAGCCTTGGAATGAAGAGAGCTAAGACAAGGGGGTAATGAACAAAGTTGCAAGCATCATGAAGGGAGAACCAACCAAATCATATATTCTGAGACCGATCCTGTGTACACATGGGGTTGCCTTGCTGGCTACTAACCCAATACGAATGGTCTCGCGCCACCAGCATCGGGGCAGGGGCCGTACCTGATGATAAAACATATATCTGGAGTTGTGTTTCCTGCTTCTGGGGAGTTTGGTTATGCGCGGTCGTTTTTTTTTTTTTTTTTTTGAAAGAACAGGAAGGTCAGAGCCCCTACTGAGATTTATTTAAAAAGAGAGAGTTTACATCTACAAATAAAGGAAACTGAAGTTATGCGCGGTCGTTGCTCAGGGTTTTGTAGCAATGTGGTTTGTGTAATGCTCATTTGGAGCGTTTGAAAGTTCTCGGCTTGTACTTCTTATCAAGGTAGTAGTATTTAAGGACGCTGTTTGGGATTGAAGCAATGCTCTAACTTTTTACCTGTGTACACGACAAGCATGGAGGCTTGCTATATTTCATTCGAACCTCTCGTTTGCTACTATCAACTATCAATCACTGATGCATAGTAGTAGTAAACTGACAGCGTCTTCAGTTGTATCTTCAATTTGGATTCTGCTTTGCTGATGCAGAATAATTTACAGATGTGAACATGTGGTTACTGACTCACGACTTCCTTAACAGTTGCAGGTCGCCCTGGATTTACAATTATACAGAGGAACGAAAACATACTATATAAAGATAAACAGCCCCGTACGTAACGGAAGAAGGCCAGGCTCGCACCTCGCGTAAAAGGACTCCATGGTTGAATTGAATCTACAATACACAGAATTACTCTTACATATAAGCTCTGGGCTGTTCAATGCCAATGCACATCTATCCTTCATTGAAGGATTACTTGTTTCTAGCATCCATATGTTTCTCCGAGGATGAAATTTGCGGCCGAGAGCTTGGACTGCAGTCTGATTTAGCATACAAGCATCTGAGGTTGGGCGGCAAGGTCAAAGCACCTGAAATTGAAGCATGCAATAACCAGTAAGCATGCAATAACCAGTAAACATGCAAGTATTCAGCAATTATAAGTGGTTAATACTCCGTACCTAATAAGAGAGTAAATTACCATGTTACTGGAGAAATCAAATCTATCCAGTAAGATCTGCCAAGATAAGATAGCCGTATCCATTTATTTAAAGAGCTTTCTTAGCCCATTGAACAATGACAGAGCTCTAAGTTCACCACCTCTCATGTCCCTCAATCTTCTACGCAATATCTGGTGATACAGTTGGAGGAAATGTAGAAGGTTAGGAATTGAAACATGATGCACATACAAAATCAATAACAATGCAAGATTTACTGACTTACATATTGTGTACGATACAGGATTCTCCGTTCACTGATGCACAGATCTCTTGCTATTTGTTTTAGCAGTAATGTTCTGTTGACTTGCTTTGCATTCATTGAAACTTCTGGAGAGCCACCACCACCCTGAAACGTTATCGATTCACACTAAAAACTGATCACAGTGATTTGTGTACAAAAGCATTCATCAAAGGATGATAGAATCAAAAAATTAATAGGATAACAGATTGTTAAAATCTTGTGAGAGGTTGTACTGTGCAAGAGATGCCATGGAAAGGACATCACCTCTAAGTACTTTGTATATTTTTCTATATTAGGTTCACAGCAGTCCAAGATAAACTGAAGGGCCTGTTCTTCCAGGTCAGGATAACTCAATCCGGGTTTGGATGAACTTTTATTAGATGCAGCAACAGCCATCTGCAAGGATAATTTGCCAGATTATTACCAATAAGTGATACAAGCTCAAATTATCTTGAATATCCTCCTAACTCTAGCACTGTTGACAATTTGAAACCATATCAGGTTCAAACTAACAGCCACAAACCTCCTCAAAGCATTGATTCATGTCAGGTGGACTGACCACAAGGAAGGCATAAGCCATCAGCTCAACTGGCCACCCTGTGACCCGCAAAGGGAAACTTTCAGATCTGTAAATGGTTATCAGATCCACTTTTGTTAATACAACTATACAAATATGAAAATATCAGAAATATACATTGTAAAATCATCACATGGAATTCAAATAAACAGAGAATGATGTACATGATGCTGAGTTGATAGTAGGTTCAGTTTCCCCAAACAAAACTGGATGGCATGAGTGGTAAATCAAGAATCAAGTACAAATCTAAGGCAACTTCTACTGAACTCTCAAATTATTTATTCTGGTAAAAGAACTGGTTTCCATCTCAATAAAATACATTTTACATCCACTATGCAATTATGATTTTCATAATCTATTCTGAGTACTATATTTTTGTATTCTATTCTGAATACTATGTCGAAGTAACAATAAGAAATCAATGATGTTTGAGGACTGTTCTATCCAATAAATGGTCATTTAGCATGGTTACAATATAGAAAACGAAAAAAACAGTTCAAGAAACATTTATATTGACAGAAATGATATTATCATGTTCCACATGGAAGAGGGTAAAATTTCACCTCATGAGTATAATGAGCACTTACTCTGACAAACCGTTTCGCTTCAGTGCTTGTAATTTCTGCTTATAGCACTTATCAGACTTATCAAGAGACACCAACAGTTCAACCGAATCATTTGGATTTGTTCCCTCTTTTGGAACAAAACCATATGAAAGCAATAGCTCACCACTGGATTTCTTCCCATAAGATATAAATACCTTAAGACAATAAATCAAAACATGTAGTTTAACAGACGAAACAACGCCAATTACCCCCAGACTTAGGACATACAAAAAGAAATTAGGTCAAAACCAAACAATTTCATGTAACTGAAGTACCAAATAAAGAAGGATGGCTAACAAATCCAGTTTTGTTCATGTGCTGGAGCCAAGTATGTGATTTATGTACTATAAAAATGGACAGTCCTAAGGTTTAGTTGACACAGCCTGAACTTATTATCAAGATTTCAGAATCGAAACTAAAGATGACTCAACCATTAGGGCCTGTTTGGAACAAAGATGTTGAGCATATAGTCTCTGGAACGGCTCAAGCAACTGCCGCAGCTTGACCGCGACGCCGGCGACGCCGTGCGCGCTCCCGCGTCGCCCACGCACACGCACGCCGTGCATTAGTTTTGACACAATTGCTCATTACGGCAACCACATTGTTGTAACTCATATATACTGATTGAGATCAATACGAAGAAGTGTTGGCTCCCATTTTTCTACATGGTATCAGAGAGCGCAGCCTGATCCTGTCCTCGCTGCTCGCTTCCCTTCCGCAACCGCCGCGCCACCGTCGTTCCCTCCTTCTCTCTCTCTACTCCTCCAGATCCACTGCCAACCGATCGGCGTCATGGACTCCAATCCCCTCTTCGAGTTCCATCTCTCCGACGCCGGTTCCGCCTCCTCCGATTCTTCTGTCGACAACGATGCATCCGCTGTCGCGCTGCCAGCGGCCACAGTGCTCCAGACGGTGAACATTAAAACCCACCCCACGTTCCTGTCGAGCTCAACATCACCGAGTCGAACTACACCAGAAATTGAAAACAGGGGAATTGTGTGTGTGTGTGTGTGTGGTGGTGGTGGTGGTGGTGTGTGTGTGGTGGTGGTGGGGGAATATGAGCGGTGTAGCGAAACAGAGAATGGAAAAACGCGGGAATAATTCAGGAATCGTGTTTGGAATTGGAACACAGGAATTCTAAACACATGAAACTTAAACTAAGACAGGGTCTCATGTGAAGAAAAAAAACCAGCTTCTCGCGACTTATACCAGTTAGAGCAGTGTGCTCGGGGGGTCTCCCCTTCCTGGTCCACGTTCTAATCCTGGTACAGCTTCTTATTGCTATGCCTAGGGTGTGTCTCCCACCTGTGGTCGAATTTTTTTTATTCATGTGAAAAAACCATCAAGTACACACTACCTGAGTTTGCATCTCTTACTTAGCAACTGACATGTTGACCACATAATCTGTGGGTCCCAAAATCAATTGCGGTAGGTAATAACTCACTCGTCCTCTCTCTCATTCTTATCCGGTCACTCTCATCTCCTTCCTCTGGATCTATCGCTCCCTGCTACTTCTCTTTCCATTGTTCTGATCTGATCATCCTTGTGAAGAAACACTGAAACAGTGCAGCTCACTGCAAGTGGCAGCAGGTGGACCATGATGGGGAGGCACAAGCATTTGACGGATGAAGGACTGCATAAAAAGGGCGGTGCGTCGCCGCATTGGAACACTACAATGGCGATGGCCGAGAGAGGTCAGGCATGGCGCAGGGACAGTAGCTGCCTACAGCACCTCACTACAGTTTTTTTGGAGAACGTGTCCGTTGACACGTGTTTCATTAAGAGGGGATAAGATTAACATTTACAAGACGCTTACCCACCAGCCCCAAATGTGAACATCGTTGGAAGCAAGGAGGTCGCACCCACCACGCTTAGATAAGCAACATTAATCTGTGGGGAGCAGGGAGCTATATGTGCTACATTGGTACTTGTTTTTGCGACTTGGGAGAGCAAATCAGAGCATGCCTAGTAAACTGCTCATGCGACTACAACGTGCCACAGAACTTCACCTGGACGCATTCATCCTCACCTCGCGCCGTGCGCACCGGGAAAAGTTTTCGCATTGCTTCCCGCTTTGAAGCCGACAGAGGCAACCTGAAGGTTTCTCAGAACCTGGCAGACGCCCCGGCATGCGGAAGAGGCGGCGCAAAGGGTGGCTCGATGCCTCACTACAGTATTCAATAGTAAATGGATGGTCGTATCCTCCATTCCAAATGCACATCAACTATATTTCCTCCATTTCTTATTCCTATGCTTTTCCTTTGAAGTTCCTCCAATCCAAACAGGCCCTTAATGCCTATTTCTAGGGAACAGTAAGCCCGGCACGCTAATGAAACAATAATTACATTTCAGAAAACCCTGAATAAATAAACATGCCACCCGGACTTTCAAAAACAGCACTGCCACACTAGTATTGTTAATTAATTTGATTGATAGATAATTTAGAATAGAGCTAAAGGA